CACACACACACACACACAAACACAAACACACACACAGTGGTGGTTGTGAGATAAGGTAGACCTGTATAACTAGGATTCTCCAGGAGGGGTGAGCTGATTGGATGTGAAGTTGCTGTGGTTCCCTGGAAGAGCACAGGTTTTGTGCACAAAAGATCTTTAGTGGGTAAAATGCTCTTGAATAGCTATGTTGTGATCTGGGACAGCTGTTGCTAGTTTCAGTAGGCAATAGTGGGCTAGACAGAGAAAGGGACTGACTCTGTGGATAGCAGCTTTATCTCTTCCAATCTCACCTATCAGACCATTTAGACTGGAATAAAATCTGTGTTCTTGCTCAAAGAAATGGGAAGGAAACTGAAGACATGGAGATAGTAAGAAAATAATGTTAGTATTTTTTCTTCTTTTTCCCCACAGGAAAGCCAATGATGATTATCACAGAATACATGGAAAATGGGGCCCTAGACACCTTTTTAAGGGTAAGAAACTGGAGAATGGTTTAATCAAAGAGTTTGGCAACTATTTGGATTTGAACTGATGCATCTGTGTCTGGGCTGTAACATTTTACACTGATAGTAACATTGAACTGATAAAATGGTATCCAGGCAAGTTTTTTTGTGTGTGTTTGTAATCAGTCGTATCAGTCCCACTTAGAAGTGGTTCAGCTCTCTTATGGATTTACCACCTCAGCAAGAATTCATTTAGAAAATAGAGGGAAATAGGGTCCCTCAGACTAGGCTTAGTCTACCCAGCATACTACGACATCTTTTACAGCTTGGGAGCAGGAACCAGAAAGACAACCAGCATTTACCTCAGTATGCTCATTCTTGGACACTTTAGTCTTTCAGTGTGATAGTACCACAGTTGTTGAACACACTATCCAGTGATCATTTAGCTCAGCATTTCTCAACCTCAGCAACTGTAAGATGTGTGGACTTCAACTCCCAGAATTCCCCAGCCAGTATGCTGGCTGGGCAGTTCTGGAAGTTGAAGTCCACACATCTTTCAGTTGCTGAGGTTGAGAAATACTGATTTAGCTGATGCCAACATTGTTAAATCTTTTCCATCCATCTAAAGCTTTGGAACTCTGTCTACCTAAGTTATGATCACTCTCCCAGGCTGAATATATCCCTCAGATGCATAGAGTGGTTCTCAGTGGTTCTGGAAACCTCCAGGTTCTGCTTGCTTTTTAGGAGTATAAGTAAATATTGCCTGGCGAAAATCCATAGCTTGTTTCGTTTGGGTGAATCCCATGTTGTAGAAGCATCCTGAGATGCTCTGGTGGTCCATCTGAATATATCCCCAAAGTGAAAGTTTTCAGCTGCGAATGGAGACTTAATTCCTCTTACCTAGGACAAATCCAACCCCCTTTCCTTGCTATGAAGCAAACAGATGAACAGAATGCAAGGATTCATCTGTGTCCCTTGTATGTAATGCAGGAGAACATGGACAAGTTCAACTCGGTGCAGTTAGTGACAATGCTGCAGGGTATTGCCTCAGGGATGACCTATCTGTCAGACCGCAACTATGTACATCGTGATCTAGCTGCCCGCAACATCTTGGTATCTAACACCCTTCAGTGCAAAGTGTCAGATTTTGGTCTTTCTCGGATCCTGGAAAATGATGTGGAAGGAACATATGAAACAAAGGTACTGTAGAACAGAAGCTGCTGGGGGGCTCTCCTCACTGAGGGGGGAAAATACTGGCATGAATTGATGCCCCACTATATGAAAAAGCTCTGAATGTTAAAGATTTGTACAAGGAATATATTCCCATTCAAGCTTTACTACACCGAAGAGCTGTCAAAGCTGTACTGTGTTGCTGTGCTACATTCCAGAATACGAATGCATCTCTGCCCGAATCCGCAATTGTCCTTTACTATTTTACTAGTAAGCATAAGATACCCAAATGCTGAACTTCACAGAGAGTATCAGTCCTCAGCGCTTGCAAAGGCCAAGTATCAGTTTCCCCTACAATCTCTTTGAACAGGGTGGAAAGATCCCTATTCGATGGACAGCTCCGGAGGCCATTGCCAATCGAATCTTCACCTCTGCCAGTGATGTCTGGAGTTTTGGCATTGTCATGTGGGAGGTGTTTTCATATGGAGACAAACCATATGGGGACATGTCCAATCAAGAGGTAAGACGGAAAGGAGAAGTTGGGATTGTCCAAACAAACCATCTTTTGAACAAGAGCAAAGACCCTTAAAAAGAAAAAAAAAATGGTTTAGTTAGGTCTCCATTTTCTTCTATTTCAGTCAGAAATAGGCTGTTCTACTGAAAAAAATCATTGTTAATGAATCATGAAATTTATGGTAACATATACTTCTGGGTCAGAAATGTTTATCCTGCCAATAGGAGAACCCCTAACCTGAATTTCACATAGAACATTCCCATTGGCAGAAACCATAAGGAGAGAAAATACTTTTGTGCCTTCACCATCAATTGCTTCCAATGTTCCTCACCCCATACAGATTTGGGGCTTGGGGGGATTTTATTTAGTAGACAAGAAATCAGCCATTTCCTGTATTGCAAGTGGAAAAATCATTGGAAGAAATTCTGTGGCTTTTGCTGAATTCAGCCCAATACTTTGAAAAACGAAAAGTACACTGCTTTTGGTTTGAAATGATTCTTTCACATCATAATCACATAATCTTCAGAGGGGCCTCTCCCTGATAGTGCTTATCAATTGCACTTTTAAAAAATATTTTAATACTTTTAAAATACTTTAATCTACCATGAGATTATTTAATTTGGCATCCATGGTTAAAAAAAGGATCTAAGTAAATCTCTGAAAATTTGCAGTTCTAATTCCAAACAATTCCAGTGCTTAGATCTGACACTCTGTAGGAAATAGCCAGAATGTTTTATGTTTCTGCTGCCTTGTCCAAGGAATTTTGCATAGGCAACCTGATCGGGTATCTCTTTTCCTGGGTAGGTGATGAAAAGCATAGAGGATGGATACCGACTCCCCCCACCGGTGGACTGCCCCTCCATCCTTTATGATCTGATGAAAGTGTGTTGGTCATATGATCGGACACGGAGGCCACGTTTCCGGGAGATCCATGCTCAGCTAGAGCACTTCCTTTCCAGCCCACATTTGCTTCGAACTGTGGCTGACTTTGACCCTCGGTAAGAGATAAGCAGCTCCTTCAGATCAGATTGGAGGTTTCTGGCTAAAAATAATTCTCCACCAAGAAAAGCTGAATTTTACCACCAGCGTTAATTAGACTTTATGATAAGATAAATTCTGTACACAAACTCTATTTGGAGCACCTGCAGACTTGTATCCTACATATATTTGTTTAGGGTGCCCTTTCTAGATGATGTGTGAAATCATCTTCCTTTTCCCTATTATGGAAAAAACCTTTGCCTAAGCAAGTCTAGTTTCCATGCAATGCAAAGAATGAAAAATGAAATTCTCCATGCCAGGCTAGGAGCTTCTCAGCCATTAGAATAGTTTCCAGCTTCATCAAAATAGGGTCCAGTTCTTCTCCAATGTTATAGTTTAAATCTCATATCTGGTCTGAAAATACCTATCAATTTATAGGGTGACACTTCGACTTCCAAGCTGCAGTGGGTCTGATGGGATTCCTTATCGGTCTATCTCCGAGTGGTTGGAATCCATCCGTATGAAACGCTACCTCCACAACTTCCATACTGCTGGCCTGAACACCATGGAATCTGTCCTGGATCTGTCTGCTGAGTAAGCTTGGGGTATCTGGACTGTGGGTTTTCCTGTAGGGGAGGAGAAGGCTGGTAAGCATGAATTGCAACTAAATGCCAGGGTATCTATTTAATTTTCCACTAGAGTACAAAAAGTTTCATAACTTTTGCAGTTCACTTGTAGTTCACTGAGTTCATAAGTAACATTCTCATGGTCCCACACCCTTGCATCCTCTTCCATCTTTTTGAAAAACTTGGCAAAATATAAATCAGCTAAAGCTCAGCTCCTTAATATTTGATTCCTTTTTTGGCAGGGACCCTAAGGTGGTACCATTGTAGATGTTATTAAGATTGCCATTTTGTAGCTAGGCTTGCTATCTTTGTTCCTCTACCCAACTGTCGAGCATGCACAGTACTTTTCCTGATACAAATGAAGAGAAAAATTCCACTTGCTAACTTTTGAGGTATCTGTCAAGAAGAGAATCAATAAAACAGCTAAAATCCAAGTAGTTGCTCGGATCCATATAGCAACAAACACATAACCACAGCAATGCTGTTCCTTTGAAGAATTGGAAGTGGGTAAGAAGCTACAGCCACCTCTATTCTGGCCCCATTTTGCAAGTGGGCAGTTAGCGAGGCTAAAGAGAAGTGTTTCTTTTTGGTTTCAAAGAGTGAGAAGTGGCACGGAAGGGACATAGGAATCCATGAGCCATGTGCCAGTTCCCACCAGCACCGTGATGTTTCTGGTCAAAATAGCTTCTTAGGCTTTTATAGTACTTCAAAAATTTGCAAGAATTCTTTAACTGATGATAGAAATAGGGTACAGAATGTGGAATGACAGCTTGTATAACTCTAAAAGAAAGCCCCCATCCCCCAAAAGAGGATACTATGAATATGAATATGAAGAAGTGACAGGAGTTGGCAAAAAAGATCTATGAAAACAATAAACATATCCCTTTATTATAACACAGTATGCATCTTCAGAGCTTCCTAAATACATCGGACATATGCAAGTAATCAACATTATCAGCACAGCAAAATTCACATGAGCCCAAAAGAAATTTTTTGGCAGATACCACTTTCAAGGAATTGTTGCACAAGGATTATTTTTGCATATATGTAATATGTATGATACAGACCTTACAGATGTGTGAGATTTATGTACAGGTCTTATAAAGTATTGCCTATACAGATTATAAATTATAACCATGCTGTAATAGAATGACACATACTGGTCTGTTCTTCATAAGACAAGAAACAAAGCTAGCTGTTGAAAGCTTTGCACCCCCATCCCCCTTGTCAGTAAAATTAAGAAGCATTCGGGGGTTCATCATAACACCTTCAGCTGCTGCAAAAAGTGTCCTCTGTCTTCACCTGCTTAGCATTTGCCAGCTCCTCTTGCTAGACGCAGCAGTTGGGATTAAACCAAGTCCATTTTTTCACCTAAGTTAAGTTTCTGAAGAATGAACCTTGAGAAATCATTTTCTGTTTGTTTTCCTTCTAGAAATATAGAACTGGAGAAGGGGGCTAATTTCATGGGATGCCATGGCTCTAAGAAATGGTCCATTTCTGTAGCTTGCCCCTCTTCTCTAGCAAACGCAGCGGCTAATCTTTTTCCTTATCCATATGTTTTAAGGGACTTGAAGCAAATGGGCGTGGGTCTTCCTGGCCACCAGAAGCGGATTCTGTGCAGCATCCAGGGATTCAAAGAGTGACAGGTCTCGCCCTACGGTGCCGAGCAGGAGTTGCGGCTGTATCCCATTGCAGAAGACAAAAAAGGTGACCCTGTGGCTGTCCTCCTGTGAATCAGAGGCCAGGGGCGACAGCTGCACCTTGTGCAAAATTGAAATATAGCCCACAGGTTGGGGCTGAGTAGCCTGGAACAGGAAACGATTTCCTGCACAGGAAGCCAGAAAGTGGCACATGCTTCAAAAGCAGATGTTGCTCTTTTATTTTCTTACTTTCCACTTTTGCAGAGGCTTCTTGCTTGACATACTTTATAGCTACTGAGGACATGACACGACACTGTAAGGAGACGCTGATGTCCCTCTGCCAGTAAAACCATCCCTAACTGGAAAGGACCTTTTCTGATGCAAACTCTGGGCCTCAAGACGTCCGGGGCCGGCATGGGGTGGGAGACCATTATTGTTTGCACAGAGCACAAGGGCCAAATCCTCTGTCTTCTGACCTGTCTTTGTCATCTAGTAGGTTAGTTCTCATCAGTCTGTTCCCAGTTCATGTTCCTTTGTACGGATGGTTTTTTTTCTCTCTGCAACCTACTCCTTCGAGCAGAAAAGGCTTGTTTACAGCAGACCAGCACCTGCTCTTGGGAGGTTTTTTTCCTCAAGTTGAGGACCTGCTTATATATTTAAAATATCAGGAAGGGATGGCATAACGGAGAAAACCCAGGCCTGGAATGATCATATGTTGTATATATGATTTTGTAAATAAACTCCTAATGCAGATCAGATACTGAGTTTTTGTCCCATGAATCATTTCCATTTTTAAAAGTTGGCTATTAAAAACATCACAGAAGGGAAAGGTAAGTTTTCTGCTGCACATTGTAGAAAGAAGGAAATGCTTAAAAGCTTAAGACATATTTTGTAAATATTTTGTGCAATGTATAGCAGTATTACAGACAGATCTGAAAATAGGAATACTTACTGAGTATTAGAGTCGCAGAAAGGGATTGTTTGGAACCATAAATACAAGACAGGGAGAGATGTTAGTCAAAGGTTCTCATTATTTAGCCTAGGTGCATGTCAATACCCTAAAAAACAGCCCAGCTGGCAGGGGAAGGAGAACATCTGAAGAAAGATACATATCTTTGGGCAGGAAATGATAATCAACGAAGATAGGAAGCAAAAGAACGATGATTAGATCTTGCTTCTTGCATTAAGTGAGCAGTCTTCTTTAATGGCCTTGATATTCAGGGAAGTGGTCCCTCCATCACTTTCTCCAGTTTTCATAGTAATCAGTTACTCTTTAGTGTAAAATTAAATTCAGCATGAGCCCAAAATATGGACTTTTTACAATACCTCCAGTCTGACCTCTTAGCTCAACGGTCCCCAACCATTTATTTATTTATTTATTTATCAAATGTCTCACCACCCATCTTGTTGAAAAGCCACTCTGGGGTCAAATGGCACATTTTTTGCGTATATTGTCAATGTTCAGTGAAAAGGGCTGATATAGAGGTTTGTTCATTTGTGAAACAATTCATCTAGTAGGAGTAGCTAATCTCAACACTTTGCCTTTATAAGAAGGGAAACTAATGAGGTTGCTCATGTCACCCTTTACAGCCCTCCAAAGTAGTCATTTTCCACCCCAGTTTACCATTTTTTTTCTGGACAGATGTAAATTTTACCAAGCAAGCTCTGTAGTGTAGGTACTTGACATTTTAAATTTCCAAGAAAGCTTCTGTGGAATCCAAGATGATCTTGGAGGCTGGTGATTTCCTTTGCACTATGCCAGGCTTTTTATTGTGTAAATTTAAAATCATGTTAAAAAAGAAATTAAAAACTAGAGTGCAACAGGGGGCCTAGCATAAACTAAAGATGGTATCCACAGGCACACTTACACTTATGAGTGCCACAGTGAGGATTCTGGTGTTCACTTCTATACCAAAGGCACAGGAAGGCCTTTTCTACCTATTCTGTCAAAGAAATTCCAAGCGTGCAGCACTGAAACCATTAATAGTTCTAGGTCAGGTTCTACACAAAACTCCCAGTGAAGGAAGAGTTGTTGGAAGA